CCAGACATCACTGAATGAAAGAAAAAAAGGAAGGAAAAGTTCCTAACATTCTTCCTCTTTTCTTCTTACTTATGCTTGCTTGGTTTCAGAAATTCTTGAATCAGTCCCTAATCAAAGGAAAGTTAACCAATGACTGTTTATGTTGCTATTTATACCTTTGAAACAAATTAAAAACGTGTGGTCTAGTTTGTTCTCTTCCTTTGGCTTCCTAAACTGTCCAGAAATTAGAAATTTTTGGATCTCAAAAGAACTGTCATTTTAAAGTTTAAGAAATACTATGACTTTGTTGAAAGTATTAAAAAAAAAAAAACCCAAAAACAGGGAGGTTTGGGAGAGGAAAGATGGCTGCATGGATTAAAGATGGCTGCAAATTCTTTCCCACTGTTCCTGCTGAGTGATGGTTCTCCTTCCCCTCCTCTTGAATCTGGGCTGGCTCTGTGGCCTTCTGGCCACTCGAATGTGACAGAAGTGACACTGTATAATTTCTGAAGTTGGGCCTTAAGAGACCTGTGGCTTCAGCTTTTGCCCTCTTAGAGCGCTGCTTCATCAGTAAATGGTAACTCCCCATAACTCCCTATTATTTTCCTGTCTCTTGTCCACTCCCACCCCCAAGGTTAAATAGGTAAGAAGAATGGGAAAGCAAAGGGATAAAGAAGGGAAGGAGGGAGGAAAGAAGGAAGGAAATGCTGAAGGAGGTTAAGGCTATAGGACAGGTCCCAAGCTCCAATTCTGACTGCCCCACTTACTTGCTCTAGGTCATATAACCCCTCTACACCACTTGATTTCAAACACTCAACATACTTTTGTAATGGCAACAGGAACAATTAACTTACAGAAGTCTAGACATATGGAATACATAACTTCATTCTGTTCTCTCTCACTACACTAGTCAATCTAGAATATCAAGAACAATCAGCTAATACCTAGAAAAAGAAAAGTAGTAAGTGAAAGACAACAAAAACTAGAATTCAAATAAGAGAGAAGGCAAGCATTAAAAGAACGAAAACAAAGTAGGAAATACACACACCCACACATACATACATATGAAAGGGAAAGCAGAAAAAATGGGAGAAAATATTGGTGAAGCAATTAGTTGGTAGAAGAAAAAAGGTAATGGGAAAGCTAGAATGAACAAGAACAGTATAGTAAAGAAAAAGAAATGAGAGAGGAGGTAGACTTGCCAGAGGAGAAAAGAAGGGGGAGAATATCAAAAGAAAGGTTACAAGAACGAGCTAACTACCGTCACCTTTGCCCTATACTACAAGTCTAACTGATCTCGACAACAATCTTCTGCCCCTCTCTAGAGCTATTTCCGTGTGGGAGCCAATGACCTTTTCTGAAACAAAGCTGATGATGTTAACCTCCAGTCTTATCTTGTACCACTCTCCTTACTAGCACCACACTGTCCTTTCAGTTCCCTAAACGTGCCATGCTTCCTCTATTGTATTCCCCCTGGCTGGAAAGCTCTATCTCTCCACCCTTCCCTCTCCTATTCACCCTTCAAACTGCCCTGATTAGATCAAATTCTCATTATTACAAATAATCCCCTTTGGTTGCACTTGACAGTTGAAATTTTACACTTACAAGTATGCTTATTTGATTACTGACTCCCCTCACTGGACTGGAAACTCCAAGGGGAAACCGCCTTCCCTCCCCCACTGTGACTCTCAGCACAGTACCTACAATGTTACAGTTGCTCAATAAATATCCTTTGAATGAATAAACAAAAGAGAAATCTGCCAAACTAGCTATCACAAGTGGAAAAGGTGCAGAAGACAACCTTAAGTGAATAGAAGAGAAAGAAACAAATCAAAGAGGGGAAAGAAAAAATTCAATACAAGCTGTGGCCTAATTAAATTCACACAATTTCAGTGTGATACCATACCAACAAAATAAAGTACAATAGTAACCAATAGGTCTCTTTTCCCTAAAGAAGCCAGAAAAGGAAATGGAATTAGTTTTTTACTTAATATGTTATAAGAATGTAAAACATAATTTAGAAAATGGACAACAAACAAGCACCTCAAACTTAAGGAGTCCAAAGCAGAGCTATTAACTTACTTCTCATTCCTCTGCCAGTCTACTCCATCTCAGTGAATGGAATCCCGCGCCCCCCTGCAACACCTCAAACCAAAACCCTAGGAGTCATCTTTGATTCCTCCCTTACTCTGATCCTCAATATGCAATGCATCAGGAAGTCCTGTAAGCTCTACATCCAAACGGATCTTCGATCTATCCACTCCTCTTCCCCAATTGCCACTGCTACCATCCTAATCCAAGCCCATCTATTTTTCAGACTGCTACAATACTCTCCTAACTAATACCCCTGCTTTTACTCTTGCTCTCCTCTCACTCCAGGAGCAAAGCGGTTTTTTTTTAAACAAAGATAAACCGTATCATTACACTCCTTTGTCCCAAACTCTTCAATGACTTCCTACTTCTTAGAATCAAATAAAAATTCATGATCTTGCATGATCTGCTACCTCTCTTTCATATCACTCTCTTCTTTGCTTGCTATGTTTCAGCCATAATGACCTCCTTTTTTTAAACAAATGGAATCCTATATCATCTTGGAACCTTTAGAGACATCATGCCCTCTGTCATACTCTAGTCCCACAGTTAAGGTATTACCTTAATACACGTGTGACCTCAGTAAGGCCTTTCTTGACTTTAACACTGTAAAATGGCTTTCTCATTCATCCACTGCTCTGTATTTTTCTTCCATAGCCTTTATCACACTATTATCACCCTGTTTATTTCACTAACAACAAATAAATATGCTCCACATGCAAGAAATATGATGGTGAAAAGAGAAAGCCATTGCTTTCACGGAGCTTATGTTTTAATAGGACTAAAAAACATGAAGACATAAATTTATCATGTGAAAAGTGCTACCATGAAAAATAAAAGTTAAAGGGAATACCATGTGTTTGTACATGTGTGGCAGCATGACACTGTAAGTAGGTTGTCAGGTCTGAGCAGATCTAAATAAAGTGAAGAAGGAAACTATGTGGAAAAAATGGGGTAAGAGTGTTTTAAATGGATTAACTTTTACTTATTTATAAAAAGTCCCTCCCACTAAAATGTAAGTCCCATAAAGGCAAGGACCCTAACTGTCTTATGCACTGCTGTGTTCACCTTGGTAAAGTGCCTAGTACAGAGTAGGCCACTATAAATATTTGATGAATAAATATCTGGCAAGCTATATTGGAGTATTTTATCATTAAAAGTGTAAAGAAGCAAAAGAATTAAATACAAAATATTAAACACAAAAAATACAAGTATTAAATATCATTCCATTTATTTCAAAAGATTCAGTACAGTATATGAAAAACTGAAATGCCTGCTCTCCCTTATGCTCATATTCTAAACAAGGTACCATTCACTTGCTTTCTGAGCATGCTGAAGGAGACATGGCGAAACTCAAGTTTAACCCCTAGAGCAATTCACAGACCCTTAAGTTAGAATAAACTAAAAGCAACAGTTTTAAATTTCACATTGGCCTTGTATCTGTTGGCCTTATTTATGCTCTTTCTATTCTCCCTATGTTCATCACATAGCACCACCTGTAACACAAGCTGCACCACTCTCAGCCCCTGACAGGTAACCATTCTGCCCAAACAAGAATGGAGATAGAATAAAAGAAATACGAAGTGAACCCAGAAAAACTTGCAAGTTTTCCACACCTTCTTACCACAAATCTCATATAAAACTCTCATCACTTTTAAATAAAGGCTGGTTTGCACACAAGGTAAATTTTTGTTTTTGGCTCTGCTACACTCCAAGGAAGATTAAGAAAATTAAGGTTTCTTTTCCCACTCAGCTCCATTAGTACCCATTTGTTCATTAGCCTAATACTGAGTACCTACTGTGTTCCAGGCCCTGTTCCAGGTGCAGTTAATAAAACTGTGAACTCAGCATACCCACCCTTCCACACACCCTCTTAGAGGACCTTGTACCACAGTGAAGTTGTACTTTCTTAATTCAGAAATGTTTCCAACTAGTTATCTTTAAAGTACTCCTTTTACCCCATATGAAATTCATCTTTGCAACATTATCTGAAGAGGAGTTAAATCTTTTTTTAAGTCACCGCACAGCAGATAGACCCACACTCATAAACCCGCTCTCCCAAACATATTTATAAACCTAATTACCGGCACAAACGGTGAATTCACAGTCGAATTACGCAATAAACGTTGAGAGTTCCACAACGACAACGAATTTAGCCGTATTTTAGGGATCCTTATATGTGGGCCAAGAGCCAATACTGTTACCCATTATCCCCAACAATAATAGATGGCTTTTCTTACTTACGACTGGCTTAGTCCGCCTGCAGCAAATGTTTAACTTCCCCTCACAAATGAATTAAAATGTAACCACTCAAACTTCGTCTATCAGCTTGGGTGACTGTCCCAAAATTGACACTGTGAATCTCGTTCTCTTTTTTTCCGATAAATTATTTTCTAAAATATCGTTAACAAAACACATTTCGTAAGATTACCTGACAGAGCCAGGCCTAATCTGAATGCTGGCTGCAAGAGGAAGCCTGAAGCTCCGCGAAAAAAGAAAGACGGGGACGGGCGTATAAAACAAGCTCAGGAAACTACCTCTCCCCTCCCTACGTGGACTGGCCCCCGATTTCACCCAACCTTAGCGATTTGAAACTTTCCATGAACACCAAACGAGACCCGAGCGTAATCTGCTCTCATCCTTAGGCCACCACGGAGAAACCAAAAAAAGAAAAAACATGTCAAAGACTCGCGTACACTCTTAAAGGACACGCATCAACTCCGGCTCCCGGCCGGTCCACCGACGCCCCCTCGGCCTCCCGGCTCCCGGCCGAGCCCCTAGCTCGCACGGACTCGGACCCAGCGCGCCCGCCAGCGCCCCGGAGCCCCCCAAACCCAGCCGGCGCCCACACCTGAATAGCCGGGAATCAGGGGCCCACATTTTCCTGTAGTTCCCCACCCCCAGCCCCTCGAGGGCAGAAATTGATGTACCTTCTAGAAAAGTAATCTCCCCGGCGCTGCCGTCGCTCTTGCCAGCCGCCATCTTCCTCCTCCCACGCCGCCGCCTCCCTAATCCATGGCCCACACCGCCGCCGCGTTCGCCGGGATGAGGGGCCGCGCCGCAGGAGGTTAGCCGCCGCAGGGTTGCGGGCCTAAGACTCGGCCGTCAGGCGGGCGGCGCTCCCCCGTCCGGACGGGCCTACACAAAAGCAGGCCGGCTCCCGGGCCTATCCGCGGGCGGGCGGCGAGACCCGCGGCCTGGGCTCCTCAGGCTCCGCCGGGCAAACGCGAGCGGCGACGACGGCGACGGCGCTTCCCGGGCCCGGTGCCTCTCGGCCCGCGACTCCCCATCCACCGCCCGCCCAGGCCGCCCGAGAAACTTCCCCTAGCGGCGGGCCCGCAGGAAGAGAGTCTGAGGGCGAGCACACAAACACGCCTCCCTCAGTCCCGGGCCGTAAAATGGCCGCACCCCCCGCCCCGGGTTTGTGAGGTCTCCGCGACCGTCAGGCGCCCCCGGGCCCTCCGCTCCTTTCAGCAGCCGCAGCCACAGCCGCCGCCGCTAAGACCATCCGCCCACCCCGCCCAGACGCGAATGTATCAGCCGAGACCTCTGCGACTGTCCATGCGGACAGTGGTGGGTCTCCTCCGCCACCGCCTCGCGTCCGTCGCCACAGCAGCGCCAGCCGCCGCTCCTCCCCCACGGTTGCCGCTGACGCCACAACGCGCTCGCCCCCCCGCCCCCCCCGCCCCCACCCCGCCGCCGACCCTGTCGCCCCCAGCGCGGCTCGCCCTCAGGAGCCCGAGGTCGCTCGCGGGTAGAGCGGGCTGCGGCGCCCGCCGCCCGGCCCTCTGTAGCACCGGCCCAGCACGGTGCCGGCTCGGCCCGCACACGTTTGGTCCGACCTCGGGAGCGCCCGCCGAGGTCCCCATGGCAGACCTGGGCTTCCGGGCCGGGCCGGCGATGCATTCGGCTTCTGTGGCACCACGATGGCCTGAGAAATGTTCCGAGTTCATATTCCTCTGAGGAGGCCTTCGGTTTAAACCGTAGCCAATTGAAGAGAAAAGGTAGAGTGAGGTAGCGCGATCACATGTGGGGGAAATGATTGTGGTCTTCATTCATTTTTAAAGAAGTTTTCAAAATAATTCATCAGGGAGGATTCTACGGTACTCTTTGGATGACAGTGTAAAAAAAAAAAATCCTGTCCTTTAATGTGCCTGAGACTTCAAAGCCCGTCCCCTGTCTTACAAGTCAGGCCTTGTAATTGCAGGTGACTATGTCATGTACGTTTTTCTTTTCCTTCTTTGCCTTTCTTTTTACTTTCTTGTTTCCTTTTAATTACAAAGATGACACGTTCATTAATGAAAATTTGGAAAATACAGAAAAGGAAAGAAGTCTTGCATGGTCCCACCACGAAACTCAACTCCTTACTCTGTGTAGTCCTCTAATTAAATACTTTTCTTAAATCCCTCACTACCCCTCCTTAAAAAACAAAAATTTATGCTCCATACCCATGAAAATTCAACAGCAATTAAAATGATACAGATAAACTATGATTTAGTGCAATCTTTGAGGAATGAACTAACTAGTTTAATTGTCCTGTTAACCAAGGCATAAGTTGAAAACCTTTTTGTTTAAAACTTCTTTTAAAATCTTTTCCTAAAATGAACTAATAACCTTTACTGATTTAGTAAGAGTAATATAATGAATATAATTTATCATTTGCTATTTTTGTTGCTTGAGGATATTGAGTGATACTGTTTCACTTTTTTTTTTTTTTTTTTTTTTTTGCGGTACGCGGGCCTCTCACTGTTGTGGCCTCTCCCGTTGCGGAGCACAGGCTCTGGACGCGCAGGCTCAGCGGCCATGGCTCACGGGGCGCAGCCGCTCCGCGGCATATGGGATCTTCCCGGACCGGGGCTCGAACCCGAGTTCCCTGCATCGGCAGGTGGACTCTCAACCACTGCGCCACCAGGGAAGCCCCTGTTTCGCTTTTAAGTGAAAAACTAATATTTTTTTGAATTATAAATTAATATACCCTCAAAATAACAAATTTCTTGTAATAGTCAATTTCTACCAGGCACCTTCAGTGTCAACATTTATAAATTAACAGTCAAGTTTTCAGGTGACCAGGGTTGGATTTTTACTTTCCTGGGTCTTAGGCGCTTTTGTCTTCATAGGCCCTTCCTCTGTAAGAAATATATTTAAAAAAATTTTTTCACAGCCATCAATATTTATTTTTTTATAAGTTCACATTCATAACCATGTTTCCCACTATGAAATTAACAAAAAAAAGTTAAAGATAATACTTAAAGTTGGTGAGGATGCTGTGACGTGAACATTCTCATTCATTGATGCTATTAATTTAAAGGAGAACCAACTACCTGGAAAGCAATTGGGCAAAAATGTATCAAGTGTTTAAAAGTCCTATTCCATTGGTCTCTGTTATATATGCATTTATAAGCAGAGCAAAAAGACAGTCTCCCAGCCCCACCTCACCCCCAAAAAGCCAAAGTGTTAACAGTGGTTATATCTTGCGGATAATAGGTAGTTTTAAATTTGGAATTATGTATATTTTTTATTTAATTTTTTAAATTGAGGTGTAGTTGATTTATAATATTAGTTCACAACACAGTGATGCAAAATTTTTGTCGATTATACTGTTTAGGGGTATTATAAAATATTGGCTATATTCCCTGTGCTGTACAATATATCCTTGTAGCTTATTTATTTTATACATAGAAGTTTTTACCTCTTGATTCCCAGACCTAATCTTGCCCCTCCTCCTTCCCTCTCCCTACTGGTAAACATTAGTTTGTTCTCTATATCAGGGGTCCCCAACCCCCCGGCCGTGGACCAGTACTGGTTCGTGGCCTGTTAGGAACCGGGCCTCACAGCAGGAGGTGAGCGGCAGGTGAGCGAGTGAAGCTTCATCTGCCGCTCCCCATTGCTCCCCATCGCTTGGATTACCACCTGAACCTTGCCCCTCACCTCCCCGTCCATGGAAATATTGTCCTACACGAAACAGGTCCCTAGTGCCCAAAAGGTTTGGGACCGCTGCTCTGTATCTGTGAATCTGTTTCTATTTTGTAATATTCATTCATTTGTTACATTTTTTAGATTCTACATATAAGTGATACAATATTTCTCTTTCATTGTCTGACTTATTTCACTAAGCATAATGTCCTCCAAGTCCATCTGTGTTGTTGCAAATGGCAAAATTTCATTCTTTTTATGGCTGAGTAGTATTCCATTGTGTGTACATATATATACACACATACAATGAAACACTATATATATGATATATATGTAGTATATGTATAGATGTCCATGTCCATTCATCTTCTTTATCCATTCATCTGTTGAATCTGTTGATGGACACTTAGGTTGCTTCCATACTGTGGCTATTGTAGATAATGGTGCTATGAACATTGTGGTGCATGTATCTTTTTGAGTTAGTGTTTTTATTTTCTTCAGATGTACACCCAGGAGTGGAATTGCTGGATCATGTGGTAGTTTTATTTTTAGTTTCTTTGAGAAACCTCCATACTGTTTTCCATAGTGACTGCACCAATTTACATTCTCACCAATAATGTACAAAGATCACCTTTTCTCAGCATCCTTGCCAACATTTATTTGTGATCTTTTTGATGATAGCCATTCTGATGGGTATGAAGTGATATTGTGGTTTTGATTTGCATTTCTCTAAACTAGCAATTATTGAGCATGTTTTCATGTGCTTATTAGTCTATCAGGTCTTCTGCCCATTTTTTGATTGGATTGTTTGTTTTTTTGATATTGAGTTGTATGAGCTGTTCATATATTTTGGATATTAACCCCTTATTGGTCATATCATTTGCATATATGTTCACCCATTCAATAGGTTGTCTTTTCATTTTATTGATGGTTTCCTTTGCTGTGCAAAAGCTTTTACGTTTAATTAGGTCCATTTGTTTATTTTTGCTTTGGGTTCCTTTGCCTTAAGCAGAGATAGAACCAAAAAAATATTGCTACAATTTATATCAAAGAGTATTCTGCCTGTGTTTTCTTCCAGGTGTTTTATGGTTTCCAGTCTTACATTTCAGTCTTTAATCCATTTTGAGGTTTTTGGGTTTTGTATATGGTATGGATAATGTTCTAATTTCATTCTTTTACATTTAGCTGTTCAGTTTTCCCAGCACCACTTATTGAAGAGACTGTCTTTTCCACATTGTATATTCTTGCATCCTTCATTGTCCATTAATTGACCATAAGTGCATGGGTTTATTTCTGGATTCTAGCCTGTTCCATTGATCTATGTGTCTGTTTTTGTGTCAGTACATACTGTTTTTGATTACTGTAGCTTTGTAGTATAGTCTGAAGACAGGGGAGCATGATACCTCCAGCTTTGTTCTTTCTCAAGATTGCTTTGGCTCAAGTTAATTAATTTTAAAACTGCTTTGGTATAAAGATACAATCCAGTCTGGATTCACAATTATATATTTATTATTGTCACTATGTTAATGTTTTTCTGACTTTAGGAGGAATAATATTAAAACATTTTTCATGAGTCTATATTTTTTCCTTATTTTGAGGAATTAGGATTTACTCTCTTAACTTTCATATATAACATACAGCAGTGTTAATTATATTTATCATGTTGTACATCCCTAATACTTATTTATCTTATAACTGGAATTTTCATAAGCCTTTATAAGTATCACAGGCCTAAGACACTGTTCCTCCTGTGCCTGATGGATAACAGCCCTGTAGGTGATTGCTGGATCCCTTAATGTTCATTAATGGAAATGATCACATAAAAATCATGTCTAGCTTAACTCTAAGGCAAGTGCATAAGAATCATCTGGAGAGCTTATAAAAAAGTTTCCTGGGCCCCATCTCAGGCCATCTAATTCAGTAGGTTTAGGTAGGGCCCATGAATTTGCATTTCTAATAAGCTTAAAGGTGATGCTGCTGCTGCTGATTTGAGAACCAGTGCTTGGAGTAATTAAGTGTTTCATTCATGCCAAGGCATTGCTCCCAGTATGATTTTCGAGGTATATTATCAAGATCTCATAACCAACATTTACTGAACATCTACTGTTATGTTTATTTTATAAGTAGAAACTGAGACCCAATACACTAAATAACTTTTTGAGGTGACTCAGCTAGAAAAGTTTAGAGCTGAGATTTGAGCCCAGGTCCATCTAGACTCCAGAGTTCATACTCTCTTATCATTATCCTGTGGTAATGATCCCAGAGGTAGAATATAATCAGTGGTCTTAGAAGCAAACTTTGAAACATGAAATAATGCATAAAAATGGTAAAGAAATGTATTTCCTAGATCATCATTGTTGTATTTCCCCTGTTTATTGGAGTTTGCTGATGGCTTGCTTCTTTCTGGCTCTTTATGCCTCAGTTCTTACTTCCAGTTAATAACGGGCAAAACACTGTAGTAATGGCTTGCAACATAATTTCCTGAGAGTACTGTTCTGTAATGCTGACTCCCAACTAAAGCTGATTAGGGTTTTGCATTTTTCATTAACTTCACTTTGCAATTTGAACTACTTCATCTCTTCTGCAGGCCAACAGATTTAATCTTTACAGCACAAAGCAAGTATGG